TGACAACTACGGAATGTTGATGGCACCGATGCTGGTGGCAACATAATGTCGACGAGTGTGAGTAACCTGGCCTAGCTGCCGTGATTTTTCTGGGTCAGCCCATATTCAACGTTTTTTGAACAAAAGCAGTCGCCCTCGCCTATGAGTTCCAGGTGACAACCGCGAGATTCAAGACACCGTCGGCATCGTCAATAACCGCAAACAATGACATTTGTGTCTTTCCGAAAAGGCGACACATTGACCGACAGCGAAATCGCCGCAGAGCCGAGAGCGCTCCCCGCCGTCGTCGCAGTTCCGCGCCAATCATACTGATGACGTGCGTGTCGCCCCACCTCTGCACGCGGCCGACGCGACGAGCGGCACTCCTTGCTCTACGGCTCCTATCTGTGCGATAGGCACACTCGGCGACCGTTTCTTTTTCAGCGCTTCAGGTCAACGCGAGTTTTTTATTGGGGGCGAGGCACCTGATTTGAAGTATTTCGGCCAGAACGGGTCATTTCAGGGCTGTGAGGTGAAGAAAAGCGGCGATTATAGTGACAACATTGCTGCGATCGTGGGAGGCTTCCGCTAACAAGCCTTACCCTGCACAGGTGTAAGGCCCTGTCGAAAACCCCTCTTCGGGGTTTGGGATGTCACTTGAGCGGTGTGTCCGTCTCAGGGCTCACACCCCATGCCAGTTCAAAGCGGACGGCGTAGTCCGTCATAGGGAGAGAGAAGAGAAGAGAGAGAGAGAGAGAGAGAGAGAGAGAGAGAGAGAGAGAGAGAGAGAGAGAGCGATAGAGAGAGAGAGAGAGAGAGAGAGCGAGAGAGAGAGAGAGAGCGAGAAGAGAGAGAAGAGAGAGAGCGAGAGAGAGAGAGAGAGAGAGAGAGAGAGAGAGAGAGCGAGAGAGAGAAGAGAAGAGGAGAGGAGAGAGAGAGAGAGAGAGAGAGCGAGAGAGAGAGAGAGAGAGAGAGAGAGAGAGAGAGAGAGAGAGAAGCGAGACAGAGAGGAGATAGCGATAAGAAGGGAGAGAGAGGGGGGAGATTCAG